AATATGAGTCATTTGATATAAAAAGTAGAAAGAACAAATTTATATATATACAAACCGAAAGGTGTATAAATAGATAATTACAGTACACATAAGGGTAAAAGTATTTGATGATATGTAGATTTCTTCCTTTTTTTTCGGTATTGGAAAATGATCAATACACATTATTGCACAACAAGGGGTAGGGCTAGATAAGTTGTATACTTCTCCCTACTCCTTTGAACATATAACTGTGATGATGTTTGTATTACTTACTTTTATTTTTTCTTTTATAATTTTAGTTTGGATTTTGACAATCTGTTATTGTGTGTTTTACATATGTTCAATGAACAATAAACAACAAACAAAAAAAATTTGAAAAAAAATCATATTTTATTTTTCACTAAAGAGTGGTTCGCTGAATGCGCATATAAAACGGGTGGGGTTCGGTACCTCCAAAAAGGTTAAGAACCATTGCCATAGAGCTAATACTCCGTGCGCATTCTCTGCCGCTGCCAACTGCTGTCGTGGATATGCAATCACACCTTATTCTATTTTCTTCGGCGAAAAAAACGCACGTTCCCCTGGGTCACACGCCCCCCTCCCGCCCCCTCCCCCGTCATCACACTGCTTTCACAGATTGAAGCTAATGCTAACTAGTGCTCTTATTTTATCAAACTGACAGCATCTCCATGGCCATATAAACACTTAATATATCACTTGACAGAGAAGAGTTTGATCTTCTCCTGTTGGCTGAACAAACTGCAGGGGCCGAGCTCATTAGCTTCCATATAATTAAGAAAAAAATATAAAGACCGTCGGTTTTAGGTGTAAAACGAAGCGTTCAAAATGCCTGACGGCGTTTATTTATTTTTTTAATTTTATTTTTTTTAACTTTATTGAACAAGTCAGAATACAATTCTCAGTAAACAGAAAGCAAAACGAACATGTTATCAATACATACATATATTACAAACGTTTAAACTAAAAATAAACCAGGGGATTATTGGACAAAAATTTCAAATAAAGAGCATATAGCCAGAGTCTTAACAGCTTTCTTGTTTTTGGAATCCAGAATAGAACTCAGGTACTGCTTTATTTCTGCTTCAAAAATTAAGAGGTTTTGAATTATTCCATCTGGATTTGTGGATATGGAATTGCCTGACGGCGTTTATTAAAATAATCTCCGGTCTCATCTTGGCTTGGAACGCAGCGGCCGGAATGACCGACAAGGCTTTTCAAAATAAACGTCAATAGCCGCTCGTTCCACCGGCGTTTCAAACGCGGTTCGTTGGCTTTTAATTATGAAGGCGCACACATGTGTTGTGATCATATCCGCTTGCCATACTGAAATACTTGGCTTTTTGACTTCACCAATGGCAACGGAAACTAACACAAAGCCGGAAGCAGGGTTTCGTTTCTCGCAGACTGGAAGATGGACATACTCAGAGACAAACTAGTTTTTATCAACGATATTGACTCATTCACGTCTAAATGTATTGCTAAGGTAAAGACTTAAGACATGAGCAATCAACACTTGAAATGTGTGTCGTAAAATGTGTTTCTATATTGTTGACAGTGTCTTTCCAAACATACCCTTGAAGCTGATGGCTCGTCTGAAAAAGAGGGTCGGACATTTAAATCAAGCGACACTGGGTCACAAAATTACAAGGTCGTCGGAACGAGTTCAGATGTTTCAGAAGTTATCAGACCCTATGTCTTGAAAGCATACATTGTAAGTACCAACAAAAGTTAAAAATAAAACAAGAAACTAACTACCTCTTATACTATTTTGTTTGGAAGCGACCCAGTAGGGAAGACCTCCTAAAAAAACTGATGGAATGTGACATCATCATCTACAACATTACTGGGTATCCTGAGCAGGTAGATGAAGCCCACTGGGCAGTTACAGGTAGGCAAACAGGAGGATGGGTGGATGGATGGACAGACAGACAGAGAGACAGATAGATAGATAAAACATAATTATACAACTACATACTGTACATACATACATACATACATACATAAATTCCTGTGGTAGCCGAACCGTGGTTAGACAGTTTTCGGATGGTGCCATAGCAGCCCCCCGCCCTGTTGTAGCATCGTGCATGCTGGTGACTTAAAAAAAACAGCAGATGTGGCATGAGAGAAACTGTATGTGAGATGGTCATTTCCTGACTCTTATAAGTGAGCCATGATGAGGTTAATCGTTGTGATATTTGCAGATGTTGAAATGGGCATAAAAGCCATGTTCACATCGATTTCTGTGTTGATTACCATTGTATGTACAGGTACAATGATTTTGAATAAACAAACGGTATCTGGGTCCTCCGCCGACTCCCACTAAGGCATGTGAAGACAGAGGGGGCTGTGGTTATATAACTGAGTAGAAAGGGGCGCTTTCAAAATAGCCAGGTATTTACTGATTTCTGCTAAACAAATGAAATGATAAAATTGAAATTGCAAGCTACCATAATTTTCCTGATCGATAAATACATAAT